TGAGAACTGCATCCTCTTACTTTCCCCTTCCTAGAAATGCTGATTTACAGGGAATTCTCATTTAAAATTGGGAATTTGGGGTGAGGATATTTCATTTGGGAAGGTGTGAGGCCCCTGGAGTCAGGGAATTCTCATTTAAAATTGGGAATTTGGGATTTGGGGTGAGGATATTTTATTTGGGAAGGTGTGAATTCCCTGGAATCAGGGAATTCTCATTTAAAATTGGGAATTTGGGGGTTGGGGTGAGGATATTTCATTTGGGAAGGTGTGAATTCCCTGGAATCAGGGAATTCTCATTTAAAATTGGGAATTTGGGGTTTGGGGTGAGGATATTTTATTTGGGAAGGTGTGAATTCCCTGGAGTCAGGGAATTCTCATTTAAAATTGGGAATTTGAGGTGGGGATATTTTATTTGGGAAGGTGTGAATTCCCTGGAATCAGGGAATTCTCATTTAAAATTGGGAATTTGGGATGAGGTTAATTTATTTGGGAAGGTCTGAGGCCCCTGGAATCAGGGAATTCTCATTTAAAATTGGGAATTTGGGATTTGGGGTGAGGATATTTTATTTGGGAAGGTGTGAATTCCCTGGAGTCAGGGAATTCTCATTTAAAATTGGGAATTTGGGGTGAGGATATTTTATTTGGGAAGGTGTGAGGCCCCTGGAATCAGGGAATTCTCATTTACAATTGGGAATTTGGGGTTTGGGGTGAGGATATTTGATTTGGGAAGGTGTGAATCCCCTGGATCTCCCAGCTCCCATCCCTGGCAGAGCCAAGCACACCCAGGGCTGTCGAATCCTGAATATTCCTCCACTTTTTCCCACTTTTCGGGAATATTTTCCATTCCTGTGGCTGTGGGGGCTGGAGGTGCAAAAGGTGGGAGCTGCCAGAAGGAAACTGAGGCACCAATGGAATTTTTGGATGGATTTATCCCCTCGGGGAGAGCAGAAATCCCCAAAATTCTGCATTTCCTGCGTCCTGGATGTTTTTTGGAGTCCTAAATGCTGAGAATTTCGAATTTTTGACCCCAAAAAGAAGGCTGCATTTAATGAAACCCCGTCCTGGATCAACCTGGATCCTTCCCAGCTCCACTTTTCCCTGTGAGCCTGCTCCAGCATCTTCTCCCTGCCTGGATCTGCGTTTTTGGGGACGTTTTTGGGGAAAAAACCAACCTGGGAGTTGTGGGAGGAGCTCCCAGAGGGATGAGATGTCACAGCACCCAAAAAAGGAGCAGATTTCCCCTCTCCTGGGAAATCTGGAAGCTGCTCGTCTGCCTGGAAATTTGAGTTCTGGATATTCCAGATTGTGGATTCACACCCAGCGGGAAAAAAAAAATCAGCTTGCAAAAAAAAAAAAAGTAAAAAATAAAATAAAATAAAATAAAAAAAGGATGTGCACAGCAGATGTCGGAGGTTTCCCGATCTGTGGATTTGAAATTCCCACCCTGGCAGGGTTGATTCCTGCAGGGAAAAGTGGGGATGGAGCTGAGGAGGGAATTCCTGGGACATGGAAAAGTGCCGGGAGAGGAGGAAAAGGAGTTTGGGGAAAAACATCCGTGACTGCGGGGATGAGCTGGAGATGTGTGGTGCTGAACCGGGAAAAGGAGGGAAGGGAGGGGGAAAATTTGGGAAAGGAGGAGGGAAAAATTGGGAAAGAAGGAGGGAAAATTTGGGAAAGGAGGAGGGAAAAATTGGGAAAGGAGGAGGGAAAATTTGGGAAAGGAGGAGGGAAAATTTGGGAAAGGAGGAGGGAAATGAGAAGAGATTTTTGGGAAAAAAGGAGGGAAGGGAGAAGGGATTTATGGGAAAGAAAGAGGGAAAATTTGGGAAAGGAGGAGGGAAAATTTGGGAAAGGAGGAGGGAAAATTTGGGAAAGGAGGAGGGAAAGGAGAAGAGATTTTTCGGAAAGAAGGAGGGAAAATTTGGGAAAGGAGGAGGGAAATGAGAAGAGATTTTTTTGGGAAAAAAGGAGGGAAGGGAGAGGGGATTTTTGGGAAAGAAGAAGGAAAATTTTGGGAAAGAAGGAGGGAAATGAGAAACGGTTTTTGGGAAAGGAGGGAAATAAATAAGAAGGGATTTTTAGGAAAGAAGGAAAGAAATTTTGGGAAAGAAGGGAAAGGAGAGGGGATTTCTGGGAATGAAGGAGGGAAATTTTGGGAAAGAAGGAGGGAATTGAGAAGAGATTTTTTGGGAAAGAAGGAGAGAAAGGAGAAGGGATTTTGGGGAATGAAGGAGGGAAATTTTGGGAAAGAAGGAGGGAATTGAGAAATGGTTTTTGGGAAAAAGGAGAGAAGTTTTGGGAAAGGAGGGAAATGTCTCGGTTGGCTGGGGACAGCAAGTGACTTCTCTGGGAATGGTTTAAATCCCAAATTTGAGGTTTTTTCTTGAAAGGGTTTTAATTCCTGTTTGAGGCTCTAAGGGAAATTTTGAAAAAAAAAAAAATCCCAAATTTGGGTTTTTTCTTGAAATGGGAAATGGTTTAAATCCCAGTTTGAGGCTTCTCTGGGAATGGTTTTTATCCCAAATTTGGGTTTTTTTCTTGAAATTGATTTAATCCCAAATTTGAGGCTTCTCTGGAATTTATTTAAATCCCAAATTTGAGGCTTCTCTGGGAATGGATTTAATCCCAGTTTGAGGCTTCTCTGGAAATTATTTTAATCCCAAATTTGGGGATTCTCTGGGAATGGTTTTAATCGCAGTTTCCACGTGCAGAGAGCAGATTTTGGGGACACCCAGGGTTTCAATAATTCCATTTTTTTGTGCAGGGGGCACATTTTGGTGACAATAATTCCATTACTTTCTGCAGGGGGCACATTTTGGGGACAATAATCTCATTTTTTTTTCTGCAGAGGGCACATTTTGAGGACAATAATCTCATTTTTTTGTGCAGAGGGCACATTTTGGGTAAGATAATTCCATTTTTATGTGCAGAGGGCACATTTTGAGGACAATAATCTCATTTTTTTTTCTGCAGAGGGCACATTTTGAGGACAATAATTCCATTTTTTTGTGCAGGGGGCACATTTTGGGTAAGATAATTCCATTTTTATGTGCAGGGGGCACATTTTGGGTAAGATAATTCCATTTTTTGTGCAGGGGGCACATTTTGGGTAAGATAATTCCATTTTTTGTGCAGAGGGCACATTTTGGGTAAGATAATTCCATTTTTTTGTGCAGAGGGCACATTTTGGTGACAATAATTCCATTTTTTTGTGCAGGGGGCACATTTTGGGTAAGATAATTCCATTTTTTGTGCAGAGAGCACATTTTGGGTAAGATAATTCCATTTTTTGTGCAGAGAGCCAGCCCACGACGTCGGATGAGACCGTGGTGGCCGGGGGCACGGTGGTGCTCAAGTGCCAGGTGGAAGATCCCGACGATTCCTCCCTGCAATGGTCCAACCCAGCCCAGCAGACCCTGTACTTCGGGGAGAAACGAGGTAAAATCACAACTGACTTGAGCTCAAAGCACAATTTGAGCTCAAATCCCAATTTATTGGAGCTCAAATCCCAATTTATTGGAGCTCAAATCCAAATTCGAGGTCAAATCCCAATTTATTGGAGCTCAAATCCCAATTTATTTGAGGTCAAATCCCAATTTATTGGAGCTCAAATCCCAATTTATTTGAGGTCAAATCCCAATTTGAGGTCAAATCCCAATTTGAGGTCAAATCCCAATTTATTTGAGCTCAAATCCCAANGAGCTCAAATCCCAATTTATTTGAGGTCAAATCCCAATTTGAGGTCAAATCCCAATTTGAGGTCAAATCCCAATTTATTTGAGCTCAAATCCCAATTCGAGCTCAAATCCCAATTTATTTGAGCTCAAATCCCAATTTATTTGAGCTCAAATCCCAATTCGAGCTCAAATCCCAATTTATTTGAGCTCAAATCCCAATTTGAGGTCAAATCCCAATTTATTTGAGGTCAAATCCCAATTTGAGGTCAAATCCCAATTTATTGGAGCTCAAATCCCAATTTATTGGAGCTCAAATCCCAATTCGAGGTCAAATCCCAATTTATTGGAGCTCAAATCCCAATTTATTGGAGCTCAAATCCAAATTTATTTGAGCTCAAATCCCAATTTATTGGAGCTCAAATCCCAATTTATTGGAGCTCAAATCCCAATTTATTGGAGCTCAAATCCCAATTCGAGGCCAAATCCCAATTTATTTGAGCTCAAATCCCAGTTTATTTGAGGTCAAATCCCAGTTTATTTGAGGTCAAATCCCAATTTGAGCTCAAATCCCAGTTTATTTGAGCTCAAATCCCAATTTGAGGTCAAATCCCAGTTTATTTGAGCTCAAATCCCAATTAGGGGTAAAATCCCCAATTTGAGGCAAAATCCCAATTCGAGCTAAAATTCCACAGTTGGGGGAAAAAAGAGGCAAAATTCCAATCCAAAGTAAAATCCCAGAGCTGGGGAAAAAAATAAATAAAATTCCAGTTTCCATAGTTGGGGAAAAAGGTGAAATCCCAATTTGAGGTAAAAATCCCAATTTGAGGTAAAAATCCCAATTTGAGGTGAAATCCCACAGTTGGGAAAAAAGAGATAAAATTACAATTTCTTTTCCCTTTCTTTCTTTCCCCTGGTTTTTCCTCTTGTTTTTTGTTTTTTTTTTTTTTTTTTTTTTCTTTTTTTTTTTTTTTTTTTTTTTTTTTTTTTTTTTTTTTTTTTTTTTTTTTTTTTTTTTTTTTTTTTTTTTT